TTGGCCGTAATCTTTTACAATATTATAGAAGAGCAGCATAGTTACGTAGCTAATGTTAGCGTGCTTTAATTTAATTTACCTTAGTTTTCACTGCCCCTAGTGGCCTAGTGCACTTCCGTTTTGTTGCTGCGTTTTTCTGTTGCATTTGTTTTGTGTGTTTTTGGTTGTGCATCATTCCTGTGTTTGCAGCGTTTTGCTGTTTGTGGCGCATTTGCCCTTATCAGCCACCGTACAGAACAGAGCCATACCGCCAAATGTAACATTCTGCTTTAGAAATAAAAACAAAAGTGGTCCTGACTGAACTGAAACTTAATGGTGGGCCATTGTATTGTTAAGCTGCAAAATGCTACTAGGGTCCCAAGTTCCCTTAATTGAACATTAAAAATAATAATTAGTGACCTTACATATTTAAAGAGCAGTTTTACCACCCAAATAAATAGGGCAGCATAAATAGCAATTAACAGTATTTCTTTCAAATTAAAAATGTTTTTAATTTGTTTTTTTACTAGTAACATCAGGTGGGCCAAATTGGGCCTTACAGGGGGCCAGCTTTGGCCAGCTGTGCACTAGCTAAAAGAGAAAGAGGAACGGTGTGTATGCCTTTGTATTCACATTTCATGTGTATGTGTGTATGTCTGTGTGTGTCTATGTGTGTGTATGTTCCTCAGCAAACTGAAGAAGCTGATTCGCTACATTCGGTCAAAGCAAGGGGCTTTTCAAGAAGAGGAGAGACAGAAGAAGCTGCAGAGATATGAAACAGATCACTTCTTGGAACCATTTGCTGGTTTAACACCTGAATATATGGAAATGAGTCAGTACCACACACACAATATGCTTTTTAATATATTAAAAATAGTACACACACACTACTTAAAAATATAAAGTATGATTCTATGTAGTCTTAATACAATAAAACAAATCTTAATCTATCAGATCATATTGATTTACATTCAATTGTTTTTACTTATGCACGTAAGGACCTTCCCACAGTCGCTCTTATCACAAAGTAAATTCATGAATGCAAATTCATTAGAAAAATACAATTAAAGAACAACAGGGCCAGATTATGTACAATAGATCCATTTTGTGTTGTGGTGGTGCTATAAAGAGAATAAATCCACAATCTGAGCTAAAAACTTGGAATTGTGGTTGCGAGAGACTAGGGACAGAAATGGGAGTTAGACTAATGTCATTTTGCATGTTTAAAGATGCAGTAGGTAATTCTTATAAAAAATAACTTTTTGTCATATTTGCTGAAATTTTCACTATATCTTGACAGTAGAATTTGAGACAGATAATCTGTGAAAAAATCAGGTTCCTCTGGCTTTCCTAGTGCTCCTAATGGCTTTTGCAAGAATCCACCAGTCAGAACCAAGTAAGATAGTGGTTTACTGAGTCTCATTCCCAGGGCATCAAATACAGACGCTTTGGGACTGAGAATCAGAATTGAAGGCAGATCAGCTGCAGTTAAGATGATTTAATCGCAAACATAAACTTACAAAACCACAAGGCAATAGTCCAAAACAATCAAATCGAATTACACTGGTGAGGGTAGGATAACTAAACACAGGTGAAAAAAATCAGGGCGAGGTAGTCAAGTATTCACTAAGACCATGGTATAATTACAGATATAAAGCTGACAGTTAGTAGTGAAGACTTGCTCATATATTCTTCTGTCTTCTTCTGTGTCCAGTCATCCAGTTTGGTTTTGTTACATTGTTCGTGGCATCCTTCCCCCTTGCTCCTCTCTTTGCTCTGCTCAACAACATCATCGAAATACGTCTTGATGCCAAGAAATTTGTGACCGAGTTGCGAAGACCAGTGGCAGCAAGAGCCAAAGACATTGGTAGGTTATATTCAACAGCTGTAGTTGAAGATATAAAAATACTAAAGAAATACAGTGAGATCTTTTTGAAATTTGCTGCTGTAAAGTTCAGTTCAGTGTAGAAAAAAAGAAATCTTATTTGTAAAATCCAGCAGAGTTGATCCATATTGTTATGTTTACAGGTATATGGTACAACCTACTAAGAGGGGTCGCAAAGGTTGCCGTCATCATTAATGTAAGTAAAACATGAATGTTTTCATTTATGTATGAACTGTGTGGTCTGTTGGTATTCAGGGCTGTTTTGGGCTCTGGACTCTGGAATCACATTCAGATCAAAGTTCAGCTTTAATTTACATTCACATCCATGTGGAAAACCTTTTTCCAACTACCCCCAAGCATAAAACGGGCCAAGAAACACATATTTGTTCCCCAAATATGGATATGAATACCACACTAGTATACTATAACAACCCTGAAAGCTGAAATTTCTGACATAGATTCTTGCAAATGCCATTAGGAGCACTAGGAGGAGCCAGAGGGACCTGATTTTTTCACAGATTATCTTTCTCATGTACTACTGTCAAGATACATTGACAGCTTCAGCATATATCACAAAAAATATTTTTATAAAAATTACCTACTGCATCTTTAAACATGCAAAATGACATTAGTCTAACTCCCATTTCTGTCCCTAATCTCTCGCAACCACAATTCCTACAGGCATTTGTCATCTCCTTCACTTCAGACTTTATTCCCCGGATGGTCTACCAGTACATGTACAGCCCTGATGGCTCCATGCATGGATTTGTCAACCACACGCTGTCCTATTTTAATGTCAGCCATTTCCAGGATGGCAAAGAACCAATGGATCCGCTGCACCTTGGCTACCCCGTTGAGATCTGCAGGTGGGAAACCAATCTGGAGATGTGTTACTTGTAGGGATGAGCTATTACACCATTATCTGTATTCCTGTCCATACTCGGAATGGGCAGAGCTTAAACCGTACATGGGTTGTGCTTAACCTGAAAGTGGGCTAGGATCAACCTTTGGATTGATCGGAAGTTGCTATATTTATTAGAAAACCATTCACAGAACAGCTTCAGGACTGAGCTTCAGATGGATGTTTTTGATCACAAGAGGACTATTTACAGTTTAGTTTTTTAATTAAAACTTTCTATATTTTTGAGAAGGCCTACAGATACAGACACATTTTACTCCGATGATACTTTCTCAACCCTAGTTATTTGCTACAATGAATCACATGAGACCACTGTTGAGACAATGCATGGCCTCTGTCATTCTTCATGAAACATAAAGTGTTTACTGTGAGGTTGTGAGGACACTCATCTCAGATGTGATTTTCCCAACCTGCTGCCCTCAGAATGCAATGTTACTGTGTTCAAAGACCCTTAGCAGCTATAAATAACTCCAGTCTTACCCTTTCATTAGGATAAGACTGGAGATTAATAATTAGCTAATTATTGCCAAAAACATACCAAAAAACCACTAACACCTAACCAATGCTGTCTTCATTTCAAAAGCCTTAAATAGCTTGTGACTTTGGGCCAATATACACTTGTCATACCAAAGATCTCATTCAGAAAAAATCCACATTTGATCATCTGGGGGCTGTGGCTGAGGCAGAGTGGGTTGCCCTCTAGTCTGTGGGTTGGTGGTCCAGCTCCTTTTGGTTCATATGTCAAAGTGTCCTTGGGCAAAGCTCTGAACAGAGTTGTCCGTTCAGGTAGAAAACTGCCTTATCAGTGCAGTCCATTTAGCATTTATATGGCGGTAGAGCACCTTCCATGTATGAATGAGCTCTTACCACAGCAGCCCGGGTTTGAGTATTTAAAATAAATAAATATATGAATGTATAGTTAAAATATAAAAAATAAGACAACCAAGATGTAAACAGTGGATGGTAAAATGTGGGCTTCAGACTGGATAAAAAGTCAATGTATGGACAGCTTCTGGGCGACAACCACAACGCTGACGCAGGCACAAAGGGGATATGACGCCATCGACAGGCGACCGGTGAAACGCAGCGTTACCTGAATAAAATGACAGATTTCTCTGAGTTTGAACATTGTTGGAAACATTTGGGATAATGTACGAATTCAACTACATATAGAACATAGAGCCAGAGTTTATACACTGTTCATTGATTATAGATTATTGATTGAATCAACTACATATGGAACATAGAGCTAGAGTTTATACACTGTTCATTGATTATAGATTATTGATTGAATCAACTACATATGGAACATAGAGCCAGAGTTTATACACTGTTTAATGCGGAGATGGTCCTCTTAAAGGTGGCTACGTGAGGCATTTTGTCTTAATAAAAAGCTCCATGTGAGCTTACAGGTAGGTTTAATTAGTGGCCATGGAATCGTTAACAGGGCTAATTAAAAAAGGAAACCAGCTGAACCGAAACTAGTTTATACTCTGAGCTGATCGGCAGTCGGTTGGAGTCATGAACGGGATACAAGCTGCATGCTGAGGAACAGAGCAAATCATTACAGCGGCAGAGTGAGACGTCAGTGTGTGTGTGTGTGTGTGTGTGTGAACTTCAAATGTGCCTGAAGACTTTTTTAAAGCAAGAACAAATCTGAAAAACTGAACAAGTGTGTGTTTAGGTGTGTGTGTTTTGTGGCTTCGTGTTGCTGCTGCCAACTGTTTTGGAAATCCTCTCATGTTTCATCCATTTTCTCCAAAGAGGAAGCTAAAGCGACGTGTTTGTCCGCTGACCACATTAATATGCAGATCTTCGGCTCGTCCTCGGCTTGTGTCTTTCTTTTTTGGATTCCTGTGAACGGATATCAGAAAGCGTTGCCGGCGATGTAGAAAAACACAGAAAACACTCGCTGGCTTCAGTTTTGGGCACAAAGCGATTGAGCGTCTCCTTCGGTTTGATGTCTGAATGTTGTTGGACTGTCACTTTGAGAGCTGCCGTGGTTACTAATGATGTTTTCACTTTATTATCCAGAGTGGAAACACATCATTTGCTTATTTTTCATCAGATTAAAAAAAGGAAATTATCTGTTAATTATGTAACTTTCTAACGTCTTTGACACTCACAAAACTTCTCATTACTTCGAGATATCGAATCATTTTCTTCTTCATAAATTTTTATCAGCGTTGAATTTCGAAAATTGCATCTTAATTACCTCCTTGTCTATTTCAGTCAGATAGCAGCTTTTTATTGGAAAACTCACTGTTAGTGTCAAGTATCAAACTGTTCCAGGATCCAGACTTAAAGATCACATATTTTTACGCTTTTCCTGTGTTTGATTTGAAGTTTTGATACTTATAAGAAGATATATTTGGTTTTAAGGACCAAAATCCATCCTAATATAGACCCTCATTTAGACATTTAGCAGCGTTTTAAAGGTAGTTCCTGAATAAGGGGGATGTGTATTTCTCTGTAGATTGAGCATTTTGATACTTAGAGTATTTATATAGCACTGAAAAAAAAACATTGGAATCTCACTTTCTACAATATGGGACCTTTAATGAATAAAAATGTGTGTTTTATAAATGTACGATGGTGTGAAACGTGCACACGTACTGAGGACATTATGGGCACAGATTACACATTGTTAGTTTTATGAAACATCCTAACTCAATATGTAAAAACTTGTTGTTTCAGAGCTGTAAATGTTTATAGTTAGAGCTGTTTATTTGGGAGAATTTGATTCGATACCCATCATTATAATGGAAGCATTCAGTTGCTGTAGTGGGTCAATCACATGTCGCATTATACTCTTCGCCCTCTTACCTTTAACAGCAGTTAAACTTTAACAGTTTTCAGTCACTGTTGCTTTTAAAAATCACTCCTCTTTGTCTCAGCTCCTTGGCAGAACAGACAGACCTGATTAACAAAATTATGGAAATATTGTGAAACTGAATCAAAAATGGGAAATTATGCAGAAGTGTATGCAGAGTGCAGGACTCTGCTGCCGCTGAGAGTCTTTCCTCATTACACAGAAACAAAGGCATACTGTGTATG